TTGGCTCTGGCATTTTCTCTGGCTGTCCCCTGCTTGGAATACTCTCCCCCTTGTGCCGGCCTCCTGGTTCCCCTGGCTTCAAGTCCCAAGTAAAATTCCATCTTCCGCAGGAAGCCTTCCCCATCTCTCTGAATTTCAGCGTCTTCCCTCTCTGCACTATTTCCTTTTCATCCTGTCCCTAGCTTGCTTGCACACGTTTGTCTGTCTGTTGTCTCCCCCTGGGGAGGGTCGTGAGCTCCTTGGGGGCAAGAACTAGCGTTTGCCTCTTTGTATCCTTAGCGCTTAACATGTGCCTGGCACACAGTAGACACTTAATAAATGTTTGTTGACTGACTGAAAGCATTCTATAAATATTATCTCATTTCATCCTCACATCAACCTTAGGAGATAGATGTTATTTTTGTCCCCATTTTCAAAATGGGAAACGGAGGCAGACAAAGGTTAAATGACTTGCCCAGGGTCTTAGAGCTAGCAAGTATGAGAGGCTAGATTTGAACTCAAGTCTTCCTGATTCCAGGTCCAGAACCCTAACCACTGTACTGTGAGAAAAATGGTCATGATATTGTGGCAAGAGAATTTCTGATTCAGGCCTCTTGCTGCCTCTAGGAAAAGAAACCCTGAAGCCCAGCAGCAAGAGATAGAAAGGGAAATTCCATTTAAAGTAACTGCAGACAATATAAAATACTTGGGAGTCTGCCTGCCAGGATAAACCCAGGAACTCTAAGAACACAATTACAAAACACTTTTCACACAAATAAAGACAGATCTAAATAAATGGAAAAACATCAGTTTCTCATGAGTAGGCAGAGTTAATATAATAAAAATGACAATTTTACCTAAATTAATTAACTTATTCAGTGCCATACCAATCAAACTACCAAAAATTATTTTATAGAGCTAGAAAACATACTAACAAAATTCATCTGGAAGAACAAAAGCCCCAGAATATCAAGGGAACTAATGAAAAGAAATGCAGGGGAAGGTGGCCTAGCCATTCCAGATCTTAAATTGTATTATAAAGCAGCAATCATCAAAACTGCTTGGTACTGGCTAAGAAACAGAGTGACGGATCAACGGAATAGGTTAGGTAAGCAAGACCCAGTAGTCAATGACTATAGTAATCCACTGTTTGATGCATCCAAAGACTCCAGATCCTGGGAAAAGAACTCACTATTTGACAAAAACAGCTAGGAAAACTGGAAAAGAGTATGGCAGAAACTAGGCAAAGGCCAACATCTTACCCATATACCAAGATAAAGTCAAAATGGGTACATGATTTAGACATAAAGACTGATACTATAAGCAAGTTAGGAGAGCAAGGAATAGTTTACGTGTCAGATTTATGGAGAACAGAATAATTTATGGCCAAATAAGAGATAGAGAACATTAGGAAACGCGAAATGGATAACTTTGATTACATTAAATTGAAAAAATTTTGCACAAACAAAGCCAATGCAATCAAGGTTGGAAAGGAAGCAGAAAGCTGGGAAAGAACTGTTACAGCCAGTCTCTCTGATAAAGGCCTCATTTCTAAAATATCTAGAGAACTGAGTCAAATTTATAAGAATACAAGCCATCCCCCTATTGATCAATGGTCAAAGGATAGGAACAGGCACTTCTCAGAGGAAGAAACTAAAATTATCTATAGTCATATGAAAAAGTGCTGTAAATCACTGTCGATTAGAGAAATGCAAATCAAAACAACTCTGAGGTACCACATCACACCTATCAGATTGGCTAACTTGATAAAACAGGACAATGATAAATGTTGGAGAAGATGTGGGAAAATTGGAACATGAATACATTGTTGGTGGAGTTGTGAACTGATCCAATCATTCTGGAGAGTGATTTGGAACTATGCCCAAAGGGCTATAAAAATGTGCATACCCAGGGGCAGCTAGGTGGCTCAGTGGATAGAGCTCTGGCCTTGGAGTCAGGAAGACCTGAGTTCAAATCCAACCTCAGACACTTGACGCTTACTAGCTGTGTGACCCTGGGCAAGTCACTTAACCCCAATTGCCTCACCAAAAAGCAAAAAAAAAAAAAATGTGTATACCCTTTGACCCAGCAATAGCACTTCTAGGGCTATATCCCAGAGAGATCATACAAATGGGAAAAGGACCCACATGTACAAAAATATTTATAGTACCTCTCTGTGTAGTGGCCAAGAATCAGAAATTGAAGGTATGGCCATCAATTGGGGAATGGCTGAACAAGTTGTGGTATATGAACGTAATGGAATACTATGGTGCTATATGAAATGACGAGCAGGCTGACTTCAGAAAAACCTGGAAAGACTTGTATGGTCTGATGGTGAGTGAAGTGAGCAGAACCAGGAGAACATTGTACACAGTAACAGCCATGTTGTGCAATGGCTAATATTGATAGACTTAGCTCTTCTCAGGAATACAAGGATCTAAGACAATTCCACAAGACTCATGATAGAAAACGCTATCCACATCCAGAGAAAGAACCATGGAGTCTGAATGCAGATGGAAGCAGACTATTTTCTCTCTTTTTTTTTGTTTCTCATGATTTTCCCCTTTTGTCCTGATTCTTCTTTCACAAAATGACTAATGTGGAAATATGTTTAATATGATTATACATGTTTAGCCTATATCAGATTGCATGCTGTCCTGGGGAAGGGAAAGAGGAGGGAGGGGGGAATTTAGAACTCAAAATCTCACAAAAGCAAATGTTGAAAACTAAAAATAAATTAATTTCAAAAAAAGAAAGAAAAAGAAACCCTGGCTCAGTAGCTGCACACGTTCAGTCTTTAAAATCCCCCTCCCTCTCCAGGCCACCACGCTTTGTCAGCCAACCCTTGTAGGGCGGACTCTGGGCTTTGAGGCCAGGATCACTTAAGAAGAGCCTCCCCCCTCTGCCAGTTTTCCACTTTGGGTGGGACAAGATGAACAGGCTTGGTTAGTTTAGGAGAGACTGCAGATGCTCTTCCACGATCTTTCCTCCCAACCGACCCAACTTCCAAACTCCTCCATTCCTGTGGAGGGCACCCTCCCCCTCCAGGCACCCAGGCTCACTCTCAGGGTCATCCCCAATGCCCCACCAGTCTCGATGGCTCTGCCCCTTTGTCCACTTTCGGATCCACCACTCAGGGCGGATCTCTGCTCTGCTCTCATGCTGCCTCTCGCTCGGGCCCCCTTCTTGGTCTCTCTGGCTAAAGTCTGCATCCAGCCTCCAGGCAGCTGCCAAAGGGGTTTTCCTGAAGTGGGGGTCTTGACTGTGGCCCCCTCCCCACTCAATCATCTCTAGGATGGAGGATTATTTCATTTTCATCCCGTCCTTTATAGTCGCTATTTTTTGTGTAAATTCTATTATGTGTGTGTATGCTTATTAGCAAATGTGTATAACTTAAGAATTGGTAAATGTGCACACGTCGAGGCTTATGCTAAAAAGTGCTTTTCCTGCTGGGGCGTGCAATCCAAAAACTTTGGAGCATGCAGCCCTGGCTCCAAAGTTCTCTGTGGAGCGTTTAGGGGAGGACTTGCCGATGTGTTTATTCCTTGAGTTCTCACCTAGCTTTGGCCCTTCTGGGTCCCTACTGCCCTTTGCTGCCATATTTGCGAGGACTGGGGATTCATTTTGCTGTGATAAAAAGATTGCCCCAGGGACCGCCCATCCTTTTCTTGTCTCCTGATGCTCAAGTCAGTGGTGGTCCCAGTACTGTCCCACTTCCCCTGAAGGAATGGCGAAGCCCTCTAGCCCTCCGGCCCCAGGGCTGATGCTTCTGAAAAGGAAGGATGAAAAAATGTTCTCAAAGCACCAGCAAGTTCAGGAGAACAGAGGGGAGGGGTGGGGGAGTGTGAGTGTGCCATGTGGGGCACTACCGAGGTCTTGAGTTTGTTTGGCTTCAGGGAGACCCCCTCCCAAGCCCCAAGACGGGGCAGCGGCTGGCATGTGCTCTTTAAAGTCAACACAACATTCGGGGGGAATGTTTTGACAATTATATGCCAACCATTGGAACTGCAGAATCTCAGAGGTGGAAGGGGCTTCCATGGCCATTTGGTTCAGCCTATACTTGACCAAGAATCCCGTCTATATCATACCTGACATGTAGACCCTGCTCGAAGCCCAAGTCAATGGGCTTCCCCATTCATTCCCCATTCACTCAATGAGCTTCTCCTTCCAGGGGAACTAGCCACCTCCAGACACAGCCCCATCCCCCAGCTCTTTGATAGCTCTGACTGTGAAAAAGTTCTTCCAATATGGAGTCACTCCTCCCCCCACCCCCCACCCCCCACCCCCCACCCCTCCACCCCTCCACCCCCACTGCTGCTGGTTCTGCCCTTGGAGACCACCAGACCATGGTGGGTGAAGAGCGTTGGCTCCTGCCTTTATGGGGAGAAGATTCCTGGGGTGAGGAGGAGGAGGGCAGAGGGAAGACAGCTGAGAACCCCAAGTGGCCAGTTCCCAGGCCCCGGTTTATTTCAGGCCACATACTTTCTGCCACTCCGGTGTGCAGCCTGCTGTGACTCTGGAGCACATGGTCCTGCCCTCAGGGAGCTTCCAGTCTAGAGGAGGCAAGGACAGCAGCCCAATGGGAGTACCAAGTAGGACGGTGCCTTCTGCAGTGCTCAGGACAGGTCCCAAGGGCAGCGTGAGTCACATGGGGAGACAGGGGGCTACTCCCTTCCAAGGCCCTGGGGAGGGCTCCACGGCAGTGAATGTAGAATAGGGCAGCGGTGGGGAAGGATGGACGGGTATAGGGACATGGGGAGGGGCTGTAAGGTGTCGAGCCTCCTCTGCAGGAGGCTTGAAATGTGGACTGCTGATGTAGGGGGCCTCCGGCATCGTCTTCTGCAGGCCTCGGTCTTCAGAGGAGGAGACATGGGCCCGCAATGGGAAGTGGCTGGCCCCGCTGGCCTCCCCCGCCCCCAGGAGTGTGCAGAGAGCTCAGCTCCCAGCAGTTGTGGCTGGGGACCACAGGAAGTGCCTGAGGCTGGGAGGCAGTAGAGGCTGCCTCCGGGGCCCTTGGGGTAGATGCATCTGCTCCGCACAGGGGTGACATGGAGAGCCCCGGCCCGGGAGAAGCCTCCCCACTGCAAGCCCAGCCAGCCCCTCGCCTGTATGGAGCAGTGGCCTCCCAGGCCAGTCTGGAGCTGCCGGGGCCCGGGGGTGCCCCAGGCGTCCCCCGCTGCAGGGCTTACGGGGCTGTTGCCGTGCTCTGCTATATCAACCTGCTCAACTACATGAACTGGTTCATCATCCCAGGTGAGCTGGCGGGGGGCAGGAAGGGAGGGAGGCCTAGGATGTGTCCCTCCGTCCGTCCATCAGTCAGTCAGTCAGCAAACGTTGGTTCGGCACCCTCACACTGGTCTAGGCGTGGGGCACACGGCAAGCAAACCCACCCTCCTTGTCTGCCATGAAGGAGTGAGGGCCTGAAGCCAGGGAGACCCGGGTTCAAATCCAGCCTCCAACACCGCGCACCTTGGTCTGCCTCAGTTTCTTCATCTGTAAAATGGGGATAACAATGTGGACTAACCTACCTCCCAGGGTTGTGGTGAAGGTCAGATGAGAAAATGAGTGTAAAAGTGCTTAGCCTAGGGCCTGATGCATAGTAGGGGTGCTATAGAAATGTTAGTTGTTATGATTAATTAATGGGATTTATAAACAAGCTGGCTGGACAGAGTGAATTGGGTATCCGGCGCTGAGAGGGGCACGTGATGACTGACTGGAAATGCATTTATTAGGTACTTACTGTATACACAGCACTGTGCATATATAGCATACCTACTGGATACCAAACCCTGGGGACAGCAGAGGAAAGGAAGCCAGTCCCTGCTCACCAAGGCTGGGCTCTAATGAGAAGCTTCCAATCAGCTGAGATAGAAAGGCCCCCAGGGTCCTTGGAGCAGAGGCAGATCAGCAGGCTGGGCCTCCAAGGCCGTCCCTCTCTGAGGCTGACCCCTAGACAGGCTGCACCCGGCTCCATCTCGATGGGGGTTTGCTGCTGGGGCGAGGGCGTGGGGCCAGGCTGGAAGCAGGGCTTGTAACCGATGTGGGGCAGGGAGGACGCTGGACCGGATGAGACCAGGTGACTTGGGGCTCTGGGGGCGCCTGTGGGTTGTAGCCAAGGGTTTGGCAACCGCTAGAAATGGAGATGAGCTATAATCGGGATAATGAGGACGCTCACAAGAAGCATCTCGGGGAGCAGCACCCGGGGCAGGCAAAGTACTTTACTCCTCTCACTTGGGCCTCACAACCCCACGAGGCAGGAAGTCATTATACCCATTTTACAGAAGACAAAACACGCAGAAAGGGCTCCAGGACGGGGCCAGTCACGTACACAGAGTATGAGCTAAGGAAGCAAGGTTTTCGTTATCTGACAAAGCTTCCTGTCACTCCGCACGTTTAGACGAGGCTGGGCAAGTCAGCTTCATCGCAAGGGACTTGTCCAAAGTCTCACAGGCAGTGCATGGCACCGCTGAGATCTGAGCCCAGGCGCCTCAGACCTGGACTCCAGGCATGGCACCACAACATCCCGCGTGCTCCGAGCTCGGTCCTGGGAAACAGGGCGAAGCCCTGCCCACATCCGCTTGTGTCTGACGGATTCCTTATTCAACTCCTTGATGATGGGATTTTAAGGGCCTCCTCCTGAAGGGGAACCATTCCTCAGTTGTTGAAGGTCTGACTTTGTGCCGGGCACTGCACTCAGTGCTGGGGACACGCATTTAAGAAAAGACAGGGCCTGCTGTCAGGGAGCTCACTGCCTAAAGGCAGAGGATGGTAAAAAGCAGCTGAAGGGGCAGCGGGCAGGGTTGGGGAGGAGGCAGGACAGAGCCCAGTCCAGAGGCGCACACGCCACGCTGGCGGGGAGTTGGACCTCTGCTCTGCCCTCCGGCCCTCCAATCAGAGGGCAGAGGGTGCTGAGCAGAATCCCAAGGAGCACCTGGCAGGAAAGGGGAGGGCCACGTAGTCCTGGGGTCCTGAATTTTCCCTGGGATGCAAGCGCAAGGAGATTCCTGAAGAGCTGGTCTGCACTCGGGGCCTGCCCTTCACCTGGAGGCCTGGGGAGACACCCAAGAAGGCGTTAGTTAGACCTTCCAGTCCTCCCCACCAGCGTCGACACATTCGGGAAACACCAATGCCCCCTGAAAGCCCCACCAGGGACGGGGACTGAGGAGTCTAAAGCCCTCTACGGGGTGTGTGTGTGTGTGTGAGTGTGTGATATGTGCGGCAAAGATGTGTGGGTGTCTGCATGCATGTGCGGTATGTGTGTCTGTGTGTAGGAGCGTATGTATGTGAGTGCATGTGAGTGTGTGTGTGTGCATGTGCGTGCACACGCGGGAAGTTGGGCATCAGCAAAGCCATTGCGTTTTCTCTCTTTAAATTCTTTTAAACTTTGGCTCCTTACCACAACCTGGGGCATCCACCCGGCAGTGCTCTTCCAGTTCTGACATGGGCCTGCAGCAGAGCCCTGGATTCTGACTCAGACTGCCTGGGTTTGAATCCCGATTCTGTGTGGCCACTGATTCCTTGGTGATCTTGGGCCTGCGTGCCGTTTCCAGATTGCTGAGGTTCCTCTGCCTCTTTCCCTCCCCCAAACCAGGTCTCAAGCCTAGGTCCCTGTCTATTCCATAGCATGGTGTCTTTGGGAAGGGTGAGTGAGTGTGTGTGTGTGTGTGTGTGTGTGTG